ATCCACAGCCCGAGCTACAAATCTTCTCAAAAACTTGGAAATATATCGCCATTCCTTCACTGTCACTGGGTCAAAATCCTGGAATTCCCTCCCTAAGGGCATTGTGGGTTTACCTACAGCGCATGGAGTGCAGCGGATCAAGGGCAGCTCATCACCACCTTCTTGAGGATGACTAGGGACGGCCAATAAATGCTGGACCAGCCAGAAACACCCACATCCCAGAAGTGAATAAAAAAAACTTCCTCGAGTTAAAGCTCAGGTGAGTTTATTAGCTACTAAACACTTGAAAAGATAAGAAAACATGCCAGACATACACACAGTTTAGAAATGAGCACTGAGTAAAAACATTATAGACGTTCAGAAGTTAGATGATGGAACATTGCAGCCATGATATTTTGATTTGATTTGATTTATCATAGTCACATGTACCTGAGTACAGTGAAAAGTTTTGTTTTGCGGGCAATACGGGCAGATCCTAGCAAACAAGGACAGACAGATCATAGGGTGTTTAGACAGAGCAAGGCGTACAGGTTACTCTGCACAGGAGGTGCACAAAGCAAGAACACTAGGTTTGAAATTAGAGAGGTCCATTCTACAGACTAATAACAGCGGGGAAGAAGCTGTTCTTGAACCTCCTGGTGCGTGTGTTCAAGCTTCTGTATCTCCTGCCTGATGGAAGAGCTTGCAAGAGATCATTAACGGGGCGGGAGGGGTCTTCGATAATGTTGGCAGCCTTTCCGCGGCAATGAGAAGTTGGATGATACCAGCAACAGCCACACTGATACTGAAGCAGTTGATTTCATGAAATGTACTTATGCAAATTAGTTGACAGGCCTTTGCCCTGTCTCCTGTTTAATGGTGATCTCATTGGCTATCCGGGTTTCCAGGACTCAAGAGTGAGGAGAGTCTTTCTTCACCTACAGCACAGGAGTGTCCATCTGTAATCCCCAAGCTGTGATCTTCTCAGTATTGCAATCCACAGTGGCACATAAGCCCATTAACATGCACAGACCTGGGGTTACGGTTGATGTTTACCGCTATTTCTGCATATTCCTGGAAGAGCGACATACATAGATGAAGAGTCATCTAGACTTGAAACGTTAGCTTGCTGTCTCTCCATAGATACTGCCTGACCCGCTGTGATCTCCAGCATTTGTTGTTTTCAGTTCAGATTCCAGCATCTGCAGTAATTTGCTCCTACAAATATGACTAATGTCTAATATGTAATCCACAAGGATGCCTTTCTGCTGAGAGAGGTATTAAACCGTTAGTTATTGATTTAATTTGATTTATTATTGCTACATGTACCTAGATACAGTGAAAAGTTTTGTTTTGCATGCAGTACAGGCAGATCATACCATACAAAGTACATCAGGGTGATAGAACAGAGCAAGGAATACAATGTTATGGCTGCAGAGAAGGTGCACAAACAGTGAGATCAACATTAAATTTGAAATTTGAGAGGTCCATTCAGAAGTTTAATAACAGCGGGGAAGAAACTGTTCTTGAATCTGTTGGTGCTTGTGTTTAAGCTTTTGTGTCTTCTGCCCAACGGAAGAGGTTGGAAGAGATTATAATCGGAGTGGGATGGGTGTTGGATAATGTTGACTGCCTTCCCAAGAAGCAAGAAGTATAGATGGGATCAACGGAAGAAAGATTGGCTTGTGTGATGGACTGGACTGTGTTCACAACTCTCTGTAGTTTCTTACAGTCCTGGGCTGAACAGTTGCTGTACCCAGCTGTGATGCATCCCAATCGAATGCTTTCTATGATGCATCTATAAAAATTGGTAAGAGCCTCTAATATCTCGATAGCCATAGAAGATCAAAGTCCAGTTTATTTGAGTTGCATCTCTCCCCTTGAAGGCTTGCTGTTTAATGTTCCCTTGGCACTTACTCAAGCGTTGCATTCAATAAACTGCTCACTGAATTCATATCCTCATTCATCTTCTGGCTGTATGTCCTCTTCTGAATTAGAAGTTCAATTTGTCACGAAGTAAGCTGATGTTATGATCTGTTGTCATGGCATTAGCAATGTTGCAATGCCAGCCGCATGATTGGACTCTAACATCACATCTGCCAAATCAAGGGCAATGAGAACTGCATTTCCCTGTGATTGGCAACTGCTGATTAACCCATTCCTCTCACAAAGGGAAGGCAAACCAACCTGTTTTATATCCAGAACAAAAACAGAAGTTGCTGGAAAAGCTCAACAGGTCTGGCAGCATCTGTGAAGCAAAAAGTCCGAGTTAACATTTCGGGTCCGGTGACCCTTTCTCAGAAGTTTTATATCCTTTCTAAATTAAAAATGGTTTTACCTTGAAGCAACCGAGGGGCTTGGAATGGGAGGGATTGAAAATCTGTGCATGCATTTCACACAGTGCAGAGGAAATGTTATTTTATCAGGCACTAGAACACAACAGCACAGGGTATTAGTCTAATGATAAATGGTGCCTCTAAACTGCAACATTTGATTGGTGGCCACTCTTCAAATGAAGGCTCAGGGAAGGAAACATTATGAATTAACCATAAATTCACGAGTGATCTACAGTTTAATTGGTTGGGGAGGAATCTTTAAGCTCTGACTGTAAGCATGAGCACGGAATGCTGGTTGGGAAGTTAGGGAGTTGTGGGGGTGTGGGAAGGGGGCACTGGGGGCTATGTTCTATCTGAACTCATCAACATTGTATAAAGCCACAGTCTTACCAGACCATAGGGCTGGTCTCTCATTGGACAGAGAGACATGATTGGTGGTAGGATCACAAGCAAGGGATTAGGTTAAGAAGGAGAGTCCTTTATTGTGACCTTAGCCAGTGTGGGAATTGAATCCATGTGGTTGGTGTCACTCTGCATCACAAACCATCTGTCCAGCCAAGTTAGCCAACTCATGCCCCACTGAGGTGAGAGAGACAGCCCTTGTCATCAAGGCTGCATTCGACCAAGTGTGGCATCAAGGAGCCCTAGCAAAACTGGAATCAATAGGTATTGGTGACAAACTCTCTGGTGGTTGGAGTTCTACCTGACACATACGAAGATGGCCGTGGTTGTTGGAGGTCAGTCATCTCAGCTCCAGGACATCTGCAGGAGTTCCTCAGGGTAGTATCCTAGGCCCAACCATCTTCAGTTGCTTCATCAATGACCTTCCCTCCATCATAAGGTCAGAAGTGGGGATGTTCGCCAATGATTGCACAATTTTCAGCACCGTTCGTGACTCCTCAGATACTGAAGCAGTCCATGTTCACATGCAACAAGATCTGGACAATATCCAGGCTTGGGCTGACAAGTGGCAAGTGGCATTCGTGCCACACAAATGCCAGGCTATGGCCATCTCCAATAAGAGACAATCTAACCACCATCCCTTGACATTCAATGGTGTTACCATCACTGAATTCTCCACTATCAACATCCTGGGGGTTACCATTGACCAGAAACTCAACTGGACTCACCACATAAATACAGTGACTACAAGATCAGGCCAGAAGTTAGGAATACTGTGGTGAATAACTCACCTCCAGACTCCTCAAAGCCTGCCCACCATCTACAAGGCACAAGCCAGGAGTGTGATGGAATACTCCCCACTTGCCTGGATGAGTGCAGCCCCAACAACACTCAAGAAGCTCAACACCATCCAGGACAAAGCAGCCGCTTGATTGGCACCACATCCACAAGCATCCGCTCCCTCCACCACCGACACTCAGTAGAAGCGGTGTGTACTATCTACAAGATGCACTGCAGAAATTCACTAAAGATCCTCAGACTGCACCTTCCAAACCCACAACCATTTCCATCTAGAAGGACAAGGGCAGCAGACATATGGGAACACCACCCCCTCCAAGTTCCCCCCCAAGTCACTCACCATCCTGACTTGGAAAAATGTCACAGTTCCTTCATTGTTGCTGAGTCAAAATCCTGGAATTCCCTCACTATAGCAATGTGGGTCAACCCAAAGCAGGAGGACTACAGCAGGTCAAGAAGGCAGCTCACCCCCACCTTCTCAAGGGGCAATAAATGCTGGGCCCAGCCAATGACGCCCACATTTCACAAATGAATAAAAAATATATAATATAGGAGGAAAGAGTTGATTAGCTGGTAAGTTGTTTCACTCATGACAACATCTCAGCCAATGAGGGTTAACTTGCCATCCAAATAGCACCCTTTTCTCCTGTTGTATCTATTGATGTGATGGATTGAAATGTGACATTCATACATTTGTCCTGATCAGGCAAGAAGAAAAATCTTCGCATCTTTTCTCTTTATTTAAGCAAGTTTCAAGTTCTGTACTCACACAGCGATGGTTTTCTTGCTCTTTTGGCCTTGCTCAGTAATTCTTTTTCAGTTCGTTCCTCCACTAGCTTGCTCTTATGATTCTTCTTAAGCTGTTGATTTTGTTTCTTTACTCTGTTCCAGTGCTCTACAACTCACATCCAAGTTCAGTCAGCCCAAATACCCCTTCCTCATCAGGACATAGACTGCGCTCAAAATGGCCAATAGGATCGACTGATTACAAGGGTTGGAAGGACGCCTAGAGGCTGGTTAAAGTGTTTAATGGATGTTGGGGGAAGGGTGGTGGTCAGTGTAGCTCAGTTGGCTGGATATTTGGTTTGCAATGCCAGCAGCATGGGTTCAATTCCCATCACCAGCTGAGGTTGGCATGAAGGACTCTCCAACTCAACCTCTTCTCCTCACCTGAGGTGTGGTGACCCTCAGGTTAAACCACCACCAGCCATCGTCTCTAATAAGAGGGCAGCCCTATGGTCTGGTAGGACTATGGCACCTTGAATTGACTCACTTAGTGGATGTTACAATGCAGGGAGGAGGTGCAAAGCATCCAACAGTGATGAGGATCATAGAAATGTGGAAAGTAATGACAGGAGTAGACCATTTGGGCTTGCATCACCAGTAATCCTGACCAATCATCCAACTCAGAACCCTGTTCCTACTTTCTCCCCCATGCTCTTTAACCCTAGATTTCTTTTTAATCAACCTGTTCAGAGATATTTTGGCACATGTCTGCAGCAGATGGGACTTGACTCCAGACATCCTGGACCAGAGGTAGGGACACTACCATTGCATCACAAGAGGCCCTCCCTTTAGCCCTCAGGCTATAAGGAAGGTAAGGATCACCTTATTCCGATTGGGAAAACATGTTTGCACCTCATAAGGAGCCGCGAAACAGGAGGATTGTCAATGTTCATGTACTCACGATGCTCTTTAGCCCACGTTGAACCAGAAATATCAGATAACCACCAACAAACCCAACAGGGAGTGCAGGAGAAACCTCCATTTTCAGAGAGCAATGATAATGCGGAACTCGCTACCACAGACGATAGTTGAGGCAGACGGTTTAGGAGGAAAATCTATAGTCGCACGAGTGAGAAAGGAAGGGAATGTCTTGCTGAGAGGGTAAGGCGAAGAATAGATTGGCAGGGGATGCTAGAGGGGCATCAACATCAGTATGGAACATCTGGGCCAAATGGCCTCATCGCTATGCCTGCAGATTAATGGAGTCCCTAGCTCTAGAATTCTCTCCCTAAATCTGCAAATCTCTCCAATTCTCTTTCCACTGTTTAAAACCTAACTCTTTACGTAAGCTTTTGGGCAGTTGTCCCTGTATCTCCATGCATCACTCAGAGATGAAAATGTTCAAAGCACCTTGTGGTATTTAAACATGTTAAAAATGCAATATAAAGTGCTTGAAGATTCCATGTTATTGTCAATGTGTACACACTGCAGATCAATGCTTGGAGAAAAAAGCAGCTAACTCTCCATTAGCAAGGTTTAACTCAATCATTTTTAATTCCTTTTTGATAAAGAGGCAGGCCCGCTTGCTAGGTGCTCCCAAAGGCAGCAATTTCATCAAGTTTTATAGCTTGTCAGTTTGTTGTGTACAATAATATTGCAATTACGTACACACTCCACTGCCCATATTAAAGTGTGAAATTAGCCCTCTGATCTCTCTGCAGTGGGAAGCTAGCTAATTAGTGAATATCAATTTATAAGATAGAGAATAAAAGTGGATTTGAACCAGAAATCACAAGTATTGGTGGAGCCAAGTGTCCGAGTTCTGTGTTGCTACAGGAATGTTTCCCTGTGTTTCTTTGCAACAGTTACAGAATGCTTAAGTCTTCATATCTTACATTCCAATTACCTACAGCTGAAATAAGATTGTATGTTCCCTGTTGGGAGGGGTCTTACAGTGCAGTGGGAGTCACCCCTACATATCTACCAGAAGCTCTGAGTTCAATAATGTTCATGCCACACAATGATCACTACCAATAAAGAGACCATCTAACCACCGCCCCTTGACATTCAATGACGTTATCCTCACTGAACCCCTCACTATCCTGGGGGTTACCACTGAGCAGAAACTTTTGTTGAGGTTCGTCCCGAGCAAAAAATCTGGAATCAAGAGAACCATACACTTTTTCCTATATTCATTCGTGGGTTAAGGGCATCACTGGCCAGGCCAGCATTTATTGCCCATCCCTAATTTGCCCAGAGGGCAGTTAGGAGTCAACCATATTGCTGTGGGCCTGGAGTCACATGTAGGCCAGACCAGGTAAGGATGGCAGTTTCCTTCCCTAAAGGACATTAGTGAACCAGATGGGTTTTTCCCCAACAATCGACAATGAATTCATGGTCATCATTAAACTCTTAATTCCAGATATTTTATTGAATGCGAATTCCACCATCTGCCATGGGGGGAGTCGAACTTGGGTCCCTAGGGCATTACCTGGGTCTCTGAATTAACAGTCCAATTATAATAACCACGAGGCCATCGCCTCCCCATTGCTGTAAAATCTGGCTCATAAGGAAACCTATGTCCATACCTGGCCTGGCCTGCAATCTGTAGTGAATGACTCTTAATTGTACTCTGAGCAACTAGAGATGGTATCACTCTACATCACAGTGCAGCTAACCAAGCTTTTCTTGTTGGTTCGTGTTGTAATGGATCCAACTCCTGTATTGGCCAAAAGTGCCACTTCTCAACCTCTTCCCTCACCTGAGGTGTGGTGACCCTTAAACCACCTGCTTAATGAGAGGGCAGCTCTCAATGTGTATGTGGGATGATGGAGATTTTGTCTAAGGGAGAAATATTGGCTGGGATACTGGGAGAACTTTTTTTCCCTGGAGCCACTGGAGGTCAGGGGCTGACCTTACAGAGGTTTATAAAATCATGAGGGGGATGGATAAGGTGAATGGCAGGTGTCTTTTCCCTAGGGTGGGGGATTTCAAGACTAGGGGGCATATTTTTAAGGTGAGAGGAGAAAGATGTACAAGGGACATGAGGGACAATTCTTTCACACAGAGGGTGGTTTGTGTGTGGAATGAACTGCCAGAGGAAGTGTTAGGTGCAGGTACAGTTACAACCTTTAAAAGACATTTAGATAAGTACGTGAATAGGAAAGGTTTGGAGGGATATGGGTCAAGCGCAGGCAGGTGGGACTAGTTTAGTTTGAAATTATGTTCGACATGGACTGGTTGGACCGAAGGGTCTGTTTCTGTGCTGTGTAACTCTATAACTGCCCCAAATAGCAATCCTCTACATTCAGCTGGGAGAGCAACAAGAGCATTGGTTTAACATTCCTTTTCCTGAAATTAGATACCTCCAGCAGACGCAGCACAGCCTACATTCTTGAGCTTGTGTCTCCAAGGTGGCGTTTAAACTCACAGTCTTCTGACTTCAAAGGTGAGAGCTCTACCCACAGAGTCATAGCTGTCAGACCAAAAGGTAACTTGAAGGTTAATGGGTAGCCTGCTGGGTAATACACTGGTGAGTGTGTGTGCGTGTGTCTGAATGTGTGTATCTGAGTGTGGATGCATGTGTGTGCGTGTGTGTGTATGTGTATGTTTTGCAGTGTGTGTGTATGTATGTGTGTGTGTGTGTGCGTATGTGTTGCAGTGCGTGTGTATGTGCGTATGTGTGTGTGTGTGCGCGTGTGTGTGTATATGTGTTGTGTGTGTGTGTATGTGTGTGTGTATGTGTGTGTGTGTGTGTGCATGTGTGTGTGT